TGATATAGCTGAGCAAACTAAACAAAATGAGTGTAAATGACTTTCTTTAATTCAAGTTTTATGTTTACCTATTGAAACAGTGGCACTCTAGCATGTGTAGGTGTTCAAATATTGTGCAAATTTCTGGTAATTAACTGCAAGTCAGCAAATTAAAATTTATTTCTTTTTTTCTGGTATTTAGCCTTCCCTTTATAGTTAAATATTGTAGATTCTGAAATTAACTCACCCAGAAGATCATTTTGTGGAATCCACTTGTAAAGCTTAGTGTTGGAACCTAAAGTTTCTGGTTTCTTGCCGCTGTATCTCCACAGAACCTACAAACAGTAAATGGAAAATGGTGATTATGAAAGTTCTATTTAAACAGGCAACAAAGTAGTTAAAAGTCATGAATTTGTGATTTGATGTCATTCTGAGGATTTACCAATACAGTATTTTATCTAATTTTTTAATATAGAGAAATAAACAAATATAGAGATGAGTCTTCTACTGCCTTAAGGTGACTATACAATAATCAATTGTTAAATCACAAAATGCAACTGTAAGAACATTTGAACTAATTGACCTCCTATTTGGTGAATTTTTATTCCTGACCTTTTGTGGAATCTGAGCAAGAGCTGAAGCTATCATGTTTGCCTTCTCTGTGGTCATGTTTTTGACCATTGATCCCAAAGAGAAGATCACGATGCCATCATCTCCAGAGCTTTGGACAAATTTTTCGACATCCTGCAAGAATGAAATGTATTTAAAGTCACCAAGCCAAATGGTTGTTAGATCTTAGCATACTTGTTCGCTGACTTTTTATCATTTAGGATGAAATAGCATAGGAATGAAGAAAACACCACCTTTGGTAAAGGTTTAGCAGGTCTGCAGTGGATTCCACCAACAAATTTAAAGTTAGGAAGGAATGGACGAGGGAAATCAAAATCCCAGTAGGATCTCATCAGCCAGATGTCTGCATTACCCATCATCTTACAGGCACTGGTGGGAGTTCCTTTGACAATAAAAGGAAATAAATTTAAATAGTAATTAGATTTATTTGATCTACAATTGTTTGTTACTCGGGCATTTGTGTTCAGTTTTCACCTCTAAATTCTGAATAATAATTATCTATGTATTTCCACATAGAGTAATCAAACAAAATGTCCTGCAGAGCATAAAAAACTAAGTTAAAAACTCTCTGTGAGAAGTTCATCTTGTCCGTCAGTTTGCTCACACAAGCTGGGACGAAGGAAGGCGGAGCAGGCAGCTGACCACACAGTCTCTCCCAGTTATTAGCTACAGAAAAACGCAAAGAAAAGACCAAAGGGATGCCCAAAATTTCTGCCGTTAAATCACTGCCAGCGAAGATTGGATCAGCCAGGAGCAAATCATAGTTTCCTTCCTTCAGCTTCTTCATGATGGTTTTTGAGCTTATTACGCCGTCCAAAATTGTTAGAGTAAAATTTGTTGTGGTTTTTAACAAATGCATCCATCTGCTGTGAATTTGAAAAATGTTCATGTAGTCCATCTCATATATAGAGAAGTGAAGGAACTCGTCAATAAGCTGTTCTATAAACTCTAAAGAGACAGAGACATTGAAGGGTTCGTACTGAAAGCGAGAGGGTTCACTGCTGTTCATGAACAACGATGAGCTCGGGACCAGGACCGTCACCTGGTGTCCTCTGTCCACCAGTGTCTCCAGGACCGGCTTCATGTTAATCCAGTGGCTAGCCTCAGAGTACCACACCAAAATCTTTCCTCCAGTCACACTCCCRGTTYCACAAAAAATCAGCAGGARGCAGACAGAGAGACGAGGCTCCATGGTGGCTGTTTGTCTATTGAAATCTCATCCGCAGCCTTATTTTACGTGTACCTTTAAAGATACTTATTAACTACATGAACTCTGTCCTCTGTGTACTGTTTGACACGAGAACAGTGAGAAAGGTAAAAGGTAATGACTAAAACGGTAACAGTCGATGTGAAAAAGACTGCATTATCTCATAAATAAGAAATCTTTTAACTGAAAAACAACAACCAGCCCAGAAAAAAAGAAGAGTTTGTGGGCTTTGACAGTGTTGTGTAAAAATACTTGGTAGTTGGCAACAGCTTATTGTAGCATTGATTCAAATATTTTTTCATTGAGATAAGTTTTATTCAAAACTTCGAGGTAATATCACGTACCTGCACATTGGACATCAGAGCTGTGCTTTGAAAATGGGTACAAGCAATGGAAAAGTTAAATTATTCCAAAATGAACAGTTTAGGAGTTTGTAATGAAATCACAAAAAGAAGTATGTTTAATAGGAGCAGATTAGTTACATTTGCAAGATGTYAAAATGTTATACATTTGTGTTTATATAAATACTGTATATGTAATAATCTCTTATTTGACTTCAGCAGTGAAATACACA